AAATCTTGGATAGGTATTGTTTTCCGGGTTCAATGTCATGACCTACGGAATTTTGAAGTTCCAAATTGATATCAGCACTTGCCAAATCACCACCTATGGTACCTTTAGCAAGGAACTACGAAATTGTATGAACTACGACAAAATATTATGGTGTGCTAATAACTGCGTATAATCCAAAATTCTTAGAAAACTATTCGAAAAACATCACTTATTAAATGAACCCAAAGCTAAATAAACTATGGATTCCATTTCTTTCTCTTATTACAATGTGTAAATGATCAGATACAAAATAGGGTTGTAAATATTTTGATATAAAATGATTTTATGATTTTTATATCAATACAATTATTTGCAACCCTATTTTGTCTATGATCTTTCACGCTAAGCAAACTATTTTGGCATCAATGTCTTTTTTCCAATTAAAACGGGTGACAAAGGCAAATAAGGAAGCATATAGAAGAATTATTTGTTGCTGAATTGAAGAAAGTATGTCATAAAGATAGAAAAACTATTAGGTAGTCTGTAAAAACTCTTATACTTAAGTCAATGTAGAAAATTACTTTAAATAGTTATTACAAAAAGTATTAATTCGAAAAGTGTACGGAAAATATGTATTTTGCATTTAACCTCTAAAATACAAAAGTGTTTGCATTTTGTATTAAAATACTTTTACAAAACCATTTTGCAAATCTCTAACCATCTCATATCAGAAGCTGAGGTCTCAGTATTCAATATTTATTAGAAGAGTGCAGGATGACTGACTACACGGTTCCCGCGTGAGTGACGAAATTGTGACTAAAACATGGACCAACATTTACATGTATTTTTGTTCTTGCAGAAGATCTTGTGTAAACGCACACGTGTCTAAATATGTTAAGAAAACTCAAATGCATATGTGTTTTCAGCAGAATCATCAAATGAGACGGTAAATTCCCTTTAAACTGAAGAAGAACTGGAAGGATTTTGATGCAATTTTCTTTAATTCATCATTTTTACGGCTTACACCACTTTATTTAATGTAATACACAGCATCATATTCCTTATTTTCAATCGATATACTTACTTCATTCATTTTCTTATGTTTATTCTTGGTTGAATTACTTTGACTATCTCTATTAGGATACAAGATCAATTTGACACTTAACATTTTAGATTGGACTCTAATATACTATTCATTGACAGTGAGTTCACAAAATATCAACTGTTGCCAGTTTGCCACTTGACATTGGTAAGGGTTAATTTCAAATATTTCAAACTAATCCAAAATAATCCACTCCAGCAAAGTGTATCAATTACAAAGTTAAAATTTGTACCTTTACATTTGAATACAGACAACCCTTTACAACGAAGTTTACCCTTAACTCGGTTTTAGAATTCAGGTAATTCTTATATACAGTAACACAGAATTCCTCGAATTTAAAATTGGATAAATCGTGACAAAATTGTATACATAAATTTTTAATCGCCAGCTTTATTCAATTCGCATATGATTTTAGAACTGATGGGTTTTAGGTAATTTATTTTCCTTAATTGCAAAGTAAAACCACTCACATCCGGATGTATTAGTTTTTAATTTTAAATGCCCATTTTCCGAACCAATTGTTATGCATACCTATTTGTATAGGGCGAAAAAGCAACTTTTTATTTATACTATTTCTAAGTAAAATTTTTCAGATTTCCTTTCGACATTTATGAATAAAAATAATGCTTCTTATCAGTAGGTATCACATAAATATTATATTAACTTAATGCACGATTAAATTTATAAAAAAATACAACGTGTAATTGTACAACACGCCACTGAACACACAAACATACCGGGATAGGGGTTAAGATTTAATGGTATTATTTGTACAATATGAATTTAAATTTTACACTGTACATGCCGGAATTGCCTGTAACGAACGTTGCATTGAAGCGCGCTCACGGCTCAAGCGTTTCCCACTACGAACTCGACTACGTGGCCGAGTAGAGGGGGGACATCCGTTGCATCATTTCGTTACATATCAACTCGCACGAAACGAACTTACCCTACCGTGCGTAAAGAAGTTTCATTTCAATAAAAATCAATGTTGACCATTTCGGTCCTGAAAGTATCAACTAACTTGAGACTATGTGTCTGTCCCTAGATCGGCTGAGTTTCCATTTTATCGGTTCGTATCATGTCACCAGGCGAATTGGTTTCGAAAATCCGCGTAGATATCTATTTGCTGAATAAGGGCGATGTGGGACCTTCCAAACAGATTTATTGATCAAAAGACTAACTAACTTGTCGTTATAGTTACCTACTGTGGAGAATATGAAGACCTGAGAGGATATGAGAAAAATTGCGAACTTTGATTACCGAAGGGAAGTATATAACGGTCTTCGTTATCTCACAGCGACCGGAAATTGAAAAATTGCAAAACAAACTTGAAGTTTTTATTTTTAACAAAATGAAAGGAGATTTCGTCACACACATATATGATAAAATTATTGAGCACATGCCTTTTCGGACAATATGAAATGGAATTGCAACATTTAGGTCACTTATTATTTAGAAAATGTAATACGTTGCTTTAAACCAGTTTTTACACTAAAGAAGAAGATTTAGATAAAATTTTAGAAACAAAAAAACGTTTACATTTAAAAAATCGCATCACATTTTCAAGACCGTTAGGAGAATACTGGTGTGCAAGGGGAAAAGAGTAGGGAAAAAACAAATATCAAGATAGGAAACGAAAAATTAGAAGTGCCTAATTTTCGGTAAAACAGAAGATAGCGCAGGGTCGAATCGATTTCAACAAAAAGAACTCACTACTAATTAATTACGGTTAATTTAAGAATTCGAAGAAGATTGTTAAAGATGTATGTGTAGAGCGCGGTTCTGTACGGGTGCGAAACATGAACCGTGAGCGCTGCGGAAAAGAACATGTTAGAAGCGTTCAAAATATGATGTTATAGATGAACGACGAGGATACCGTGGATAGAGAAGGTTAGAAATAAGGATGTATTAGAAAGAATAGGAAAGAAATAGGCGAGATAGGTTGCTAGGACACTTTATCAGGAATGAAGGGCTACTTAGAGACATTTTGATGTAATGAATATGCACCTAAATGTCTGCCGCTTTTCTATAAACTTTTGCAATAAAAGTAAGCATACGGTGACGGTTTTTGGCACAAGCTGTTTTTGGATTCGATTTTTTTTCTGTATTTTGGCAGATAACAGACGATAAAGAATTACTCAAAGACTTATGATCTTTTAGTAATAGCAAAATTGAATTTAATTCAAAGTACCACGTGGAATATTAGAAAATAGTCTTAATCAACTTAAAATATAAAAAAATACTAAAGGTCAAATTGGGATTCTCAAATTGCTGCATCTTTTCTATTAGACGTCTTTAGTGTATAATTCTGAATTGTTTTCAAGACCATCAAACCTTTTCTACCATAAATACCAGTTCTCGAGCATAATAACATTTTCATCAGTACGTACGTTTTTATACGTTTACAACACTAATATAAACCAAATTCAATTAAGCGTCCAGCTACACTTTTAAGTAAAATACCTACTTGTAACATGGAGGAAGTTTTCGAAAAGGTTTTTGCAGAATTAAACTACTGTTTAAATGATTCGACCCTTTCCTTTATTCGAGCAAAAAAAACATTGTCATTGTCCCTTTTCCGGTGCGAACTGAGTTTAAAGCTACCACTCTACTTTAGAAAAATCCCCTGTCCGATATCAGTCGGATTAGCATTCGCAGGAATGTTGGCTCACAGAATCCAAGTGGTCCCGAGGGTGTCCTAATAGCTAGGCAGACGCTCTTCAAGCATGGCCACAAATTTTCCTGGCACTACAGTACATAAGTATATACGATATAAGTATACATATATATATATATACTTATATCGTATATANAGAAAAAAATGAATCCCCTTTCGACGGTCGTGCCTTCTCGTTTGTTAAAAAACACATAAAAATGTTGGGTTTAACGCGGAATGTGTGTAACAGTTTTTAAAATTTGGTAGGATTTTCCTAAATATATGTAGAAAACCCCTGAATATAAATTTCCACATATTATAACACGACAGGAAACAAATGATTTCGGGCTACCACTGGGTCATAAGGCCACATAAACAAACGCCAATTTAATTCTTTTGAAAATAAAAAAACAATATCTACCTTCTCTTACTTTAATAACCCTAAATAATACGCGAATACCTAGTGAAACATTCTAACAATAGAGTATAAAATTAACTACCCTCAACCAGACCATTTATATATTTTAATTGCGTATTTTTAATCATTTGGTTAATATTTTTGTAAACAACAGATTAGGCTTAGTTTCATTCAAATTTTATGCTTCTTTGAAATGAATTTACGATACCTAGTTCTATTGTATTGCTTTATATTATTAGGGTCATTTTAGGTTTAAAAATAATTTAGCGGTTTTGTTTTAATTTGTTCTCTAGTAAATTCCACATTTAAAAATTATGAATTAATTTTTCCAACCTTCTACAGCATAACCTAATCTGTTCCTCGGTGAAGTAATATTATCTGATCGAATGCCGCAGGCGATCGATACTAACCGCACTTTTAAAGTCAAGAAATTATAAATTAATTTTTCTAACTTTCTACAGCATAACCTAGTCTGTTCCTCTGTAAAGTAATGTTTTATGATCGAATGCCGCAGGTGATCGATACTGGCCGCACTTTTGATGCATCACAATCCGGCAAACACAGATCATAAGTCACAGACACGGAACATACGAGAAGTATCCGGAAATAAAAGAGAAATATTCAATGACCATATGAATAATAGACCAACATTCGACGGAAGGCAGTAGATAAATACATGCCTACAGATGGTTTGACAGTATTGTATCATAATAAGCATATTTTTGGCAAAAACTAAAATAACGACTGCCTGGCTAACTCTAACGAATTTCGATGTGAATTCATCGAATAGTTTTTCTCTAAAGAAAGCAGATACTTATACGTACACGTTAAAAAGAACTCACCTTTGGATGATCTCTAACAGGTACAACAACTCTAACTGCCACTTTGATGGGTTTATCTCTGGTAATGTCAACCATCCTTCTAGATTCGTTGTTAGATTTGCTTCCTGAAAAAAAAACAAGAAATCCCTTCAGTTAGACGTTAACGTGAAAAAACGCTTTTAATATTTCAAATACGGAAAGCTTCGCAATGGGCATTAATTATTTATTAAAAGAATTAGCGTTTATTCGAAGAGAGTGCTCTCTACTTCCATTATTATTATAACGACGGATAGGTTTTTAAAGGAAAGTGTACCTTTAAAATGCTAAAGAAGCTAGAATGGATAATTAGAAAAGCCATTATGAAAAGCAGTAGAAGAATTAAGTCAAAAGAAAATCCAAGACGTTTTTATACCTTATTTTCATAGAATGTACTGTTATTTTAGATAGGTGCGTTAATGTAAGTGATAGAAACTAAATCTTGATGTTTACCAAAATAATACTAATTTTATAATGACCAAGCAACTGTTTATTAACTTTTAATATATTTAACAAGTATCTAGTTGATTTAGCTAATAAGAGGATGAAATCCTATAGTAGCAGTAGCTCTTCTTTTTGATTCCTAGTGAACTATGATTTTCTGTATTACGAAGAAAAGGATAATGAAATAGCATGGTCAAAAACCAAGAACAGATATGAAATCTGAATAAAACTGATTCAACTTTTATTTGACCTTTTGTTGATGCTTTTATTAAACTGCAAATGTGGATATACTGTATATATTTTGTGTTTTATTAAAATGTTTTTAAAAAGATAGTTCTGACAGGTGTTTGAACGTCAATTTCCGCAACACGTATCTTAAATTCGTCGGGAAAACAACTGGGTGAAACTTTTATTGCTATCGATGTATGTATGCTGAGCGGATACATCTATTGTTAACAATAGCATCTGCTCACAAAGTTTCCTATTTTTGTTTCCTCAATTTCGAATACTAGCTGTGTGCTTGGACTTCAGTTTGTGACTACGAATAGTACCAAAGAGTCATATTATTTCAACTTGTGAATTCACTTCAACATGGAGATATATGTCCAAGCGGACTTTTTTTACAGGCTTTTCTATAGAAAGTATTCATCATTATCATAAGGTCATCAGTCCCAAGACTGGTTGGACACGCACCTCCACTCTTTCCTATCCTGAGCTAATCTTCGCATTTCCCTAAAACTAGAACATCCCACATCCTTAACTATTTGCGAACAGTAATCTAATCTAGGTCCACCTTTCCTCCTCCTTAAATTCTGTTTCTGCCTCTAATATATCTTTGACTAGACCTTCATTCCTTAGAAGGTGTCCTACCAACCTATCTCGCCTATTTTTTATTGACTTCCATAGAGTCCTCTGTTTCCTATTCTTTCTAATACTTCCTCATTTCTAACCCTCTCTATCCACGTTATCCTCATCATTCGCCCGTAACACCACATTTGGAACGCTTCTAACCTCTTCTTTTCCGCCGCGCCCACTGTCCATGTTTCGCACCCGTACAGCGCCGCGCTCCAACCATACACCTTTAACAATCTTTTTCGAATTTCTAAATTACGCGTTCGGGAACATAGAAGTGACTTCTTTTTATACCTAAACACATTTTTGACGTATGTAAAATAAATAAAGTACGAATGTGTATGTCATGAATCGGAAAAAGTCCGGGTTTTAGCGGTTCACAGTATTAATAAAAGCTGTGCTATCCCCTGTCCCTTTTTGGTATATCCATGAGTTTGTAGGAAGTAATACCATGTAATTTAGTATGCATCTAATAAGACGATATCATGTTTAAATCATCCTCATCGGTTTTCATAAAACTGCCTGCATCCTGTTACATAGGAATAACTTGTACATACATATATATGTACGTATATGTAATGAAGCCAATTTGGTAGCAGTTTTAAAGTAAAACCAGAGGGTTCTTTTACCTCCTCGGAATGATGTATCGTTTAACACTTGCAATATATACGTGTACGTACTCGTTACCCTGCTACGACAAGATCAATTAGTGGCTACAACTAACGAGCATTTCTGCAGCAATATACAAAAAGAGGACGTTGTAGTGCATAAGATAACGGGAACGCGGTACAGGGAGAATTAGTGCATGTTGCTTTAGTTGAGCAGTAGACAATTAGAACTACACGTTTTATTACTTTCGACGGTAAAAAGTGACGTAACAATTTATCGTTGAAGTCCCGTTTAGAAATGAAGTTGACGTGGAAACAGTATTATGACTGCATGTCGCAACCAATCTGAAAAAACTGGCATTTTCTAGTACGGCTAAATAACGTTTCCAGTTAAAGCCCAACGCGCACTACGGGGAATCGAACAGAAGTGAAGAGAAGCACAACGAAAAAATCTCGTTCAACGAGCACAAAGCTCAAGTATCAGTGCCGATGTCAAGAGTAATAAAATCGTTATCAATAACCAAAGAACAGGGTATTTAACATCAATTTATTTTTGATAGTTATAACTAAAAATTATTGCACTCGTAAATAAATGTGCGAGCATTTGATCTACACGGCTCTGTGTGGATTCTGCCTCGTCTGCATCAGTCCTCATTATCATAAGGTTGTCAATCCTAAGACTAGTTGGATCCTTAACTATTTGCGAACAGTAATTGTTATAAGTTGTTATGTACCTCGGTTTCTATTTCATCGTCTCTCTCTACATCTTATCTATCTGTCCTTATTTTCCCCTTTATTTATGACTTTTCTGTACTTTCGACCACTATTTGCCTATCGTTCTCTTGCCGGTTGCTAATACTTCTGTGCTGTCTTTCTCTATCTCACCACCTTTTCACTCTTAAGTAGCGTGCCATCAGCACCATCAAAAGAGTACGAAGGTTGCTGTCAAGCCGCATGTTTCGTTCGTTCACCGTTTTATTCACCGTTCTTGTTTCACTTGTGTACGCCGATTGAAGGCATTGTATATATTGTATATAAATCAATAGATTCTACAAAATTACAGTGTTTTTCAATTAACAATAAAAACCTACAACCCTTTAATTAGGATTGTTAGGAAGTTTAATGCGATAAACACGCCGCCGATCCAGAACCGAATCGTATGAAGCAGTAATCTAATCTAGGTCTACCTCTACCTCTCCTAACTCCGATTTCTGCCTCTAACATCTCTCTGACTAGACCCTCATGCCTTAGAAGGTGTCCTACCAACCTATCTCGCCTATTTCATACTGAATCCCATATAGAGTCCTCTGTTGTACGATTCTTTCTAATACCTCTTCATTTCTAACCTTCTCTATCCACGGTATCCCCATCATTCACCTGTAACACCACATTTCGAACATGTCTAACCTTTTTTTTTGTCCAACTTCAGTATTAATTCCCCATATTTCACAGAAAGCAGACTGCTAAAAGTACGCATTTAATTAAAATAAATGAGTCTTTTTATTTTTGTTTTCGTAATAGGCAAAATTTTTAATTGCACCCGACGCGCGTATGTATATCAGTCATAATAGATAAGTAGTCTAAAATGAGGAGCTCTGCATTGAGCTTGAGTTACAAGAAGAATATCGGAAAGTACACAGGAAGTTGACAGCATAATATATATGCAAAATAAGACACCTTTGTGTGAATTTTCCCACTTAGCTATTTGATGATTAAAAATTTTGTTATTTTTTGAAGTGAAACTTCCTTATCGACGGTAGGAAGGAAATTTACTAGGGTATAAAACCGAAAACTGGCCGAAACCGAACGATTTAGTTAATAGGGTTGTTCAGATAAATTCCCCAAAGAGACATTTTTCTCATTCGCCCCTAAATTAATTATCAACTTCCAGTTGTAAATTTCGAGGACCCTCGGCGTTCTTGTTTACAAAGTTGGTTAACAATGCACTTGGCTTTTTAGCCTAAAATCTAATTCAGGTCAAGAGTCAATCGTAAAGTGCAGAGCAAACAGCAAACCTATTCCCTTACACTCAGCACCCGTTTTTTGTTATTCGTCTGTGCAGTGTGCATATTGAAGTTCGACAAAAGCCAATTGTAAATCCTCACGAAGTTGTTTTATTAATCAATTTGAAAAATGTGATGTTTGAAAAGCATTTTTGCTACTGGGAGGTTTAAACCATGGATAAATAGACTTTAAATAATTGTTTTAATTTTCTTTATCCAGATTCGTTCAGAAACTCAATCAATGATAAATTTAATTCTTCTCTAAAAGTTCTTATTATGTTGTTTAACTTTGGACTCATAATATTAGAAAGTTCAATTTCCTTTTTAGATCCTATAACTGTTTAAGGGATTCCTGGGATCGTTAATGTTTGTCTTTATTTATCGTATCAGAACCTTTCAGGACAAAAAAAAATAATATAAAATTGTCTTGTTTTTCACATATATTAAATACAAAACAACTTTAGGGATAGATATACAGGGAGAAAAGGTTAGTGTGCTTAGATTTGCAGTTAATATAGTAGAATTAGCATCTAGAAAGGAGGAGTTAGAGATAGCCTTAAATAAAAGGGAAGAATCATTGACAGAAAAGTATGGTATCAAAATAAATAAAATTAAAAGAAGAATGTTGGTATGCAAGGAAAAAAAAGGTAGGGAATTAGTTAACATAAATCATATAGGAAATGAAAAATTAGAAGAAGTCGCTGTTTTTTAGTATTCAGGAAGTCAGATAATTTAGGATGGAAGAAACAATAGAAATATAAAACAAAGGATCGCGCAGGGTCGAGTCGATATCTTAAGCACGGCTTTGTATGGGTGCGAAAAGTGAACGGTGAAAGCGGTAGCAAAGAAAAGGTTAGAAGCGTTCGAATGATGTGTTGGAAAGAGTAGGAGAACAGAGGACTCTACGGAAGTCAATAAGAAATAGGCGAGATGGATTGATATGACATCTTCCCAGTCTTAAAGGGCTAATTAGAGAAATGTTAGAAGCAGAAACAGAAGTTAAGAGGAGTAGAGGTAGACCTGGATTAGATAATTCTTCACAAATAGTTAAAGATGCGGGATGTTCTAGGTTTAGGGGAATAACTCTGGAAATAACTAGTCTTAGGACTGACGATGATAATGATAATGATGAATTCAGCTTATTTTTAGACTTTTAATGAAACAAATATGAACTCTATCTTT